AATCAGGTTCGAGCATAATAATGTGATTCTATTTTGAAATTGTTGAAAGATTTAATTATTCTCAATAATTCTTCAGAAAGATTCTGTAATGCTAATACAATCAATGCTTTTTATATAAAATATTTTGTAAGTAAATGAAGCTGATGCATAAATCTTAATTTAATGATTTTGAAAACAAAGTACTTTTTACTATTAAATGTCACGGTCTTCAAAAAAAAGCCTTTGAATTTTTATATAATATCCTTCATGACAAGAAAATTCTGTGCTGATCCTGAATATTTACTTAAGCCATAGTATATATTATTGTTGACGGCTGCTACGATTTAAAGTTTCCTAGGCAAAATGCATTGAGCTAAGTCATGTGAACACTGAAATAATTTATTTCTCATGACAAGAATAACTGTAATAATTAGTCAAAGATACATGAAATATTTAATTTCAGATAAAGAATACAAAGAGTAATCCAAACTTATTATTACCTTTTATATTTCAGCTCTGCTATAAAATAGAAGCTGTCGACAATAATCAAGTTAATTATAAAAAATAAGTTAACTCTGGAATGAGAATCCTGTATTATCTTACTGCTGCAGTAGACTTCTTTGCTTCATTAACTATCGGTAAGATAACAAAACAAGCAATTCTTATTTCGTAAGATACAAGTCGAATTATTTAGGTTTTGAGAAACCTAGAGTATAATTATGCTTTTCAATACTTACTTATAAAATACTACAAGGACAAGATCAATACATAGTTTTTCCAGAAACATACTCCAAGCTTCAACTGTTAACTGCTATTGCTTACAGTTTCAAATAAAATATGTAAAACTAATCACATAATTATCATATCTCAAAATAATTAAATATTCAAAATATTTGTTCAAGATTCATTATATAGGCTCTGTATCGATTCTTTTGTAACAAATATATACAATATATACATTTACAAATTGAATACCTATCTTCATTTGAAATAACAAAAACAATTATTACCACAATTAAGGATGGCAACCTATAAGAGAAATATCTGCTGAGGGATCAAAAAGACTTCTATGGAAACTGAATTTATTAAACTGAATACGCGTAGAGACTTCAAGGTATGCAATTTATTTAATCATTTGCTTATTTATTCATCTTAATATTTTGATATCGTCATTAAGAATTTATTCATATTTTTTTCATTTTATTTAAATTTTTTTTTATATATTTAATTTTCCATTATTACAATAATACTTATAAGTCACTCATAAATTAATTTAAGTCAATTATTTACACTATATCGCAAACATCATGTAACATGTTTTAAAATACCGCTTGCAAATAGGTCAATTTTTTTATTATTCATTTACTCATACACGAGTTTTAATCATTTATTTATTTATGCATACAAATGATATTTTTTACATGCTACATTTTTTTTACTTACCCATTTAATAATTATAAACTTTCTGTAGTTCCTCTACGATTATTTTGCATATCTGTTTTTGAGAAAACATCGATTTACGGCAAAAAATCTGTTCACACCACACACACAAACACACACACACACACATACTTTTTCCAAACTTGGTCTCTTTCAGTTCAGAATGGCTTGAAACTTCGAGAAAACATAAAAATAGCGAATAGGATTTTTTGATGAAAACATAAACTTCTCCTTCGGGAAATTAAAAATCAAAAACTGTTCGAAAGATTAGTTGGGAATGACACTGATTAGTTTTAGGGAAAAATATACCGAACCATTTCCTTGTAATTAACTGTTGAAAAAAAAATTTAATCCAATTTTTATGGAACTTTTTTTAATGATATATATCATGGCCTTATAGAACTTACTGAAATATTACGGCTTTACGACAAGTAGTTTAATTTTAAAAATTCATCAAAGTTCGACGTTTGTTAAAATTAAAATTATACAATTTACTTGGTATAACGATAGAGTACTCGGTTTCGATGAACACACTAAATCATTAAATTCCTACAGAAACAGGTTCAATTATAAAAATTGTTGATTTTTAAAAATTTGTTTTTAGAAAATACTCCGAGTTAACAAGTTCGCTATATGTAATAAATCCACTCGGAATACTTTTAATCACTCATAAGTTAATTTATTTTTTATTAATTAAATCAATTATTAATACATTTCGGGAAGTTCATGTAACTTGCCTCAAAACAAAATATCAATACCAACTAGTTTAGTTTATTTTTTTCAATTTTGCGATTTTTTATATAAATTATTTATTTTTTTATTCATTTATCTATTTGTTTATTTTTACTTTTGTATATTTTTAATTTCAATTAAAAATTAAATAATTTAAATTAATTTTAATTTTATTGATAATTGTCTAATCGGACCAATTCGAATTTTTTTGCGCAGGATGTCATTTTTGAGCCGTGTCAAGTGGCTCCGCCGGCGACTTGATTGGTCCACGCGATTGTCAAGTTGTTCATTTGCGTGATGGGCAGCAAGAGGACCTCCAAGACCAAGGGAGAGGACACAGGGAAGTACCCAATAATAATAAGTGTGTTATGAAAACGAGCAAAATTAAACAAATCATTGTCGGGTTCTCATTCATTTATTCGCGTTTGCTTCCATTGTATTTAAATTTTGTGCAATTTCTTTTAACAATTTGTGACATTGACAGTAGATTGTGAACGGCATACGTAGTTTGGCGCGATCGTATCGATTTTTTTTTAAGTACTACTTTGTTAGCATATTATGTAATGTCATGATTCAGATAATTACTTGCATGCTAATATAGTAGTTTGGGGTAGTAGTAAGTTATGTAGGTATCATTCGTAGTTCTAGTTTTGACTGACACACTAACACAATAATCCACTATTAAACAAGAATGTAATAATCTGAATCATTCGACATTATGTATTACTTAATTATATAATTATTAAACTATTGTCAACTATAAACAACTGTTGCCGTTTGCAATCCATATAGCATTGCGCCAATTTATTTATATTCTGATATATAAACTTTGTTTCATCACTTTTAGGGCGTTCTTGGAGGCCATGATACAAAATTCAATTAAGGACAAAGTGTGAGCACTAAATGTTATCAATCCATGAAATAGTTTAAATCTGGAATTTATATATTTAATTTTAACCTGCAGATAACTTTACCTACTTCAGCAGTATGTGTTATTTATCAAACATTTTAAAAGATGTATTCTAATCTCTTGTTTTTTTGTTCCAGATTAAATTCTCCGCTACTGAATCAACTGCCTCATTGGACCCAACCGACTCTAGTCGATCAAACAGTAAGCTCTTATCAAGTATCTATCAGGCAGTCTGTACCCTTTATCAAACATTTTAAAAGACGTGTTTTAATCTTCTGTTTTTTTTTTTTATTTCAGATTCAATTATCCACTTCTGAATCAACAGCCCTCATTGCGTGTGTATCCTTTATCAAATATTTTAAAAGACGTGTTCTTATCTTTTGTTGTTTTTTTTATTTCAGATTCAATTATTCACTTCTGAATCAACAGCCCTCATCTCCTTTAATCCATCAAACAGTAAGAACTTATCAAGTATCTATCAGGCAGTCTGTATCCTTTATCAAACATTTTAAAAGACGTGTTCTAATCTTTTGTTTTTTTTATTTCAGATTCAATTATCCACTTCTGAATCAGCAGCCTTCATCGCCTTTAATCCATCAAACAGTAAGAACTTATCAAGTATCTATCAGGCAGTCTGTATCCTTTATCAAACATTTTAAAAGACGTGTTCCAATCTTTTGTTTTTTTTTTTTATTTCAGATTCAATTATCCACTTCTGAATCAACACCCCTCATCGCCTTCAATCCATCAAACAGTAAGCACATATCAAGCATCTATCAGACAGGCAGTATGTATCCTTTACCAAACATTTTCAAAGACGTGTTCTAATCTTTTTTTTTTTGTTTATTTCAGATTCAATTCTCCTGCACCACTGAACCACCAGTCCTCATCGCCTTCAATCCATCAAACAGTAAGCACATATCAAGTATCTATCAGACAGGCAGTATGTATCCTTTACCAAACATTTTCAAAGACGTGTTCTAATCTTTTTTTTTTTGTTATTTCAGATTCAATTCTCCTGCACCACTGAACCACCAGTCCTCATCGCCTTCAATCCATCAAACAGTAAGCACATATCAAGTATCTATCAGACAGGCAGTATGTATCCTTTACCAAACATTTTCAAAGACGTGTTCTAATCTTTTTTTTTTTTGTTATTTCAGATTCAATTCTCCTGCACCACTGAACCACCAGTCCTCATCGCCTTCAATCCATCAAACAGTAAGCACATATCAAGTATCTATCAGACAGGCAGTATGTATCCTTTACCAACATTTTCAAAGACGTGTTCTAATCTTTTTTTGTTTATTTCAGATTCAATTCTCCTGCACCACTGAATCACCAGTCCTCATCGCCTTCAATCCATCAAACAGTAAGCACATATCAAGTATCTATCAGACAGGCAGTATGTATCCTTTACCAAACATTTTCAAAGACGTGTTCTAATCTTTTTTTTTTTTTGTTCATTTCAGATTCAATTCTCCTGCACCACTGAACCACAGTCCTCATCGCCTTCAATCCATCAAACAGTAAGCACATATCAAGTATCTATCAGACAGGCAGTATGTATCCTTTACCAAACATTTTCAAAGACGTGTTCTAATCTTTTTTTTTTTTTTGTTATTTCAGATTCAATTCTCCTGCACCACTGAACCACCAGTCCTCATCGCCTTCAATCCATCAAACAGTAAGCACATATCAAGTATCTATCAGACAGGCAGTATGTATCCTTTACCAAACATTTTCAAAGACGTGTTCTAATCTTTTTTTTTTTTTGTTTATTTCAGATTCAATTCTCCTGCACCACTGAACCACCAGTCCTCATCGCCTTCAATCCATCAAACAGTAAGCACATATCAAGTTTCTGTCAGACAGGCAGTATGTATCCTTTACCAAACATTTTCAAAGACGTGTTCTAATCTTTTTTTTTTTTGTTCATTTCAGATTCAATTCTCCTGCACCACTGAACCACCAGTCCTCATCGCCTTCAATCCATCAAACAGTAAGCACATATCAAGTATCTATCAGGCAGGCAGTATGTATCCTTTACCAAACATTTTCAAAGACGTGTTCTAATCTTTTTTTTTTTTTGTTTATTTCAGATTCAATTCTCCTGCACCACTGAACCACCAGTCCTCATCGCCTTCAATCCATCAAACAGTAAGCGCTTATCGAGTATCTATTAGACAGTATGTATTTTGAAAGACGTGTTCTAATTTTTTGTTTTTTTTATTTCAGATTCAATTATCCACTTCTGAATCAATAGACTCTAATCAGACTGTAAACGCTCATGAACGATGAGTCGACAATCAACTGCTTGGGTTTTGAAACACTAATTCTTATAAATTTGCACAAGTGGTTCTTTTTGTAACCGTGTTTAGTCTTATGCATGTTCTTACCAGTAGTCTTACTAACTCATTAACAATACTAACATTTTAATAACGTAGTTTGATCAGTTACAATAAAAACCACTTGTTGCAGTTTACTTAGGAAGACGTAGTAAAACGGCTCAGAAGAAAACACTTGGTGAGTTACATTTTTATAATGTATTATAGTAGTCTGACTTATAACTAATTAAATGCTTTTGTTCACAGGGTAAGCAATGATCTCTTCAGGATTGCCCTCAACTTACACACGTGCCTGCATTGGACTTATCTTGCTGTCAGAAACCTTAACTCAATGGTGTTCCTAGAGAAGATACATGCTGCATTCAATCAAGGGTTATGATTTGGATACTTATAATATATTCATCTAATTATTAAATAAATACATAGTTTTATTAGTTCAAATTGTTGTTTGAATTTTCATTAATGCTTATATGTTACTTATAATATGTTACTTAAATTATATAAATATTTTGAATTATTTTGATGCCATAGGTGTAATAGAAGAATGTGATCCGTCAGTTGTGATAAATCAAGACAAAGTAAACTGATTGGCTCCATTGTGAAGATTACGGATACAGCAGTTTAGACATTAAAACATTTGTTTGGCAAAGAAATATAAGTATTAAAATATTTTTATACTTGATATATATACTAAGAATTATGTTAAATAATTTGTTTTATAGGCTTATTTGACGAAACTTCAGGCGGTCTTCTGAATGGTTTGCACTCTGGTCTCACTTTACTCGAACCTCTTGGATTTTGGTCTCATCTTGCTCGAATAGCCTGCGGCCTGGTCTTGTACTTGTAAGTCCATGGTCTTGTTCTTGTAAGCCCCATGGTCTTGTTCTTGTAAGCCCCATGGTCTTGTACTTGTAAGCCCCATGGTCTTGTATTTGTAAGCCCCATGGTCTTGTATTTGTAAGCCCCATGGTCTTGTACTTGTAAGCCCCATGGTCTTGTACTTGTAAGCCCCATGGTCTTGTACTTGTAAGCCCCATGGTCTTGTACTTGTAAGCCCCATGGTCTTGTACTTGTAAGCCCCATGGTCTTGTACTTGTAAGCCCCTGGTCCCTTAGGCCCCTGCATTTTCCCTCCTATGGTTTCTCGCCTCTTGATTTGTATTCATGTAAATTAACTAATGTTTTGTTAAAATAGTTTTATATTTAGTTTATAGTATTTTAATTATTGTACAATATTGTTTTATTACAATATTAATAAATATTTCTTACAGGTTGTATCAAATTGCTAATTTGACTAGTACTGGTGATCGTGCTGTCCCAAAACACTTGTCAAGATTCTACTATGTTTTGCATTGAGAAGCCAATGCCAAGAACCTAAATGTTTGTAACACATTTATCTAAATATTGAATACAATTATTGTTAACCTTTTAAATTTGTTGTTTTATTCGTACCATTAATGTTTTCTTTCATTGTGAGTCTTTAGGCGCTCCATCATTTGCTAAAGATACAAACATATTAACTCACTTGCTCATGTAATTTTTTTTTTATTCACCACTCACTGAATTACATAAATATTTATGTCTTTGCATTTTATAGGTAATATGGGAGAAATTCATTTATCAATTCTGAGGAATTAAGACCAGAGTGAAGTGACCGGCAACCGATGAACCTCATTGTCATGTTTGGGTGTCTTAAACTTCTGGCCTCTGATGACTTCGAGGTCTTTTGTTATTAGAAAAATCAAGACAAAGTGAAGTGAACAACAACCGATTGGCTTTACATATATACATACGAGTATATTGAGTATTTATTTAAGAATTAGTTAATTTACAAATTTACAATTAGAATTAATTATTTAACATATTGACTCGTTTAATCGTGTAATTTTTTATTCATTATTTACTAAACCATGGATTTTTACTCAATATAAACATGTCAAAAGCACACATTTTTCTTTCATTATTTAATGTCTAAGTCATGATTTGAATTTTTACATGTTTATATAATAGTAGTAATCATAATTAATAATAATAATGTTTATAATAGTAGCAATTGTAATTAATCTTTGTAATAAGTAAAAAATTAATTATAAATGCTGTTCTATTGTAGTTAGAGTAAGAGTATGTTATAATAATGTATTTATTATTTGTAATGTAACGATCTAACTTAAATATAAATTTGTGTAATGCCATCAAATAAAATTATTTAACTTTATCTGTAAGTGTTTAATTTAATTTAATTTTTATCAATTTCAGTGATATTAAATTAGCAAATATACACAAGTTCAATTATATATCAACTATTACCATTCGAGTCAATTTCAATTAAGCAAATTTAAAGTTCAGTTTAGAAATCCACGAATTGAGTAAAAAGCCATGGATATATATGCATGAGTTTTTAGCATGAAACATAAAAAGAAAAAATTTATGTTTTTGACAAGTTTAATTTGAGTGAAAATCCATGACTTTTTAAACAGTTCGAAGTGGAAAATATTAATATTTTAAAAGTTTAATTTGAAATTAGCTACTAATATGTTGAAATTATTGTATTATACAATGTTAATAAAGTTATTGTAATTATATCTTTTAATTGATATTTCATGTTTTTAATTAGCTATATACTTTAGTTAATATGAGCACTTTATTAGATTGTCTTTGCAATTTTACTTAGAATTATTTAATGGCTCAAAGACTAATTATTTATTTCAACAATTCTGTGACAAACAGATTATTTAATTAGTTCAATTTAATTAATAAGTATAACTAGTGTTAGTTAGTTTTACTTAACTAAGAAAAATATATTTTTTTATGTATTTTTTCAACTTTAATAAATATAAGCAATTTATTAATTTAATTACTTTATTATTTTATTACTTCATTATAAAGGCTAAGATTGTGTTTGCAATTTTGCTCATAATTAAATTAATTATTTGCACAAAGACTTATTTCAACTGCTCTATTGCAATTAGATAAATTAATCAGTGTATTTTAAATAATATATATAACACGTATCAGTTCTACTTAACTTAGAAAAAATATTTCCTTAGATCTTACTATTTTTTTCTTTTCTTATATACCGTGTAACTTTAAGAAAAATGAGCACTTTAATTGATTTAGACTGCATAATAATTAGTTCATATTAATTAATACCTAATAACTTATATTAATTATTTTTGCTTTTTAACTTATAAAAAAAAAATACATCTTAAAGACTTAGAATTTTTTCTTTTTCTCTATTATCACTTTTTTTACTTAATTTAAATATATTTATTATCTTATTTAAATCCCGTTAGATAAGGGATTTTTTTAACCCCCAGGTTCTGCGGTTACCTAACCATAGAACCCTGGTTTAAGGTAACCGGAGCCCTGAACGTCAGGTAACCGGAATTCGGTAAACCCTGACGCAAGGGGTCGGGATGGGATTAGCTACCCTACAAATTTACAATTAATTCGCTTACCTCGATTTTTTATTTTTTACCCTACCTGCGTCTCGAACCTGCTACCATATCCTTCCAATCTATATCCCATTCACTCCTCTTAGCCCACTACTCCATGCTGATCACACCGAAAACACCGCCGCAAACTGGCTTATGTAGACTCGATATAGATAAGCCAGAAAATAATTCAACCGGCGACGATTTAACAAGTCATAAGCACTAAAAAAAGCCGGTTCGTCACCGGTTGTGTGGCGTAACGGTTAGCGTGATGGCTTTGTACCGCAAAGGTAACGAGTTCGATCCCAGGATCGGACGGGAAAAAAGCTCGTCGTGTTGGCCGGTATACTATGCAAGCGTGCCGGACGTTACGTTGATGTAATTAAGAAAAGCTCCGTGTAGGCGAAGGGGTGAATGAAGAAAACCTTCCCTGCCTCGGGCACCCTTCGTCAGGCATTGCGACCTGGCGGAGGGTGCCCTAGCGGATTTCTTCACTTTATTTACTTAACTAGCCGGCGGGGGCCCGGGAGGCCCCCCCACGCGGGCGCGGAATCGGTCAATCAAGAACCAAGCCAGCCAGCCAGCCCCCGAATTCAACGCCACGCGCGCGCGCGCGCGTGCACGCGGGTGCGCGTGTGTACGCGCGGGTGTGCGTGCGCGCGCGTGTGCGCGCCCGTAACTAGGGTACAGTATGTACATTCTTAAAAATGCACTAGTACAACGTTGCATAGCAACGCGTACTAGTACATTTTTAAGAATGTAAAAGTACGCGTTGCTACGCAACGCGTACTTTTACATTCTTAAAAATGTACTAGTACGCGTTGCTATGCAACGCGTACTAGTACATTTTAAATAAGTACGCGTTGCTACGCAACGCGTACTATTTAGAATGTCATTCTTAAAAATGTACTAGTACGCGTTGCGTAGCAACGCGTACTAGTACATTTTTAAGAATGTACATACTGTACCCTAGTTACGGGCGCGCACACGCGCGCGCACGCACACACGCGCACGCACACCCGCACGCGG